CAGTAATAGTGATTTAACCGTCTGTGAAATAGTACATCGGTGCCAGGGACATTGGGTAATTTATTTTAAGCCCGAAAAAATTACTAGGCCATATTTTAATATTTTATTTACTATTTTGGCAGCATGTTTGCATGATTTAGGCGGGTAGAAAAATCTTCATGAATATTATTGGAGAGTTTATGTATTGAAAAAGGCATAATAATTGCTATGGTGGTATATTAAGAAATAAATGAGGAAATTATTTTAGTGGAGTTAAATTTAACTAATTGGTGGAGTTTAAATAAGAAGTTAGAAGAGAATTATTGACGGAATATTTAGACCATTGGATGAGATTACCTTAGGAATTGATCTTACCACACATTCTGGCATGAAATTTGGAACAGTCAAATTTGACACTGGTAATGGCAACTTGAAAGTAACACCTGACATGCTCACGCATAAGTAACACACGTATTTTGATGATGGTCCATTCTGTTCATATTCTCATAGCCAATTTCCAATCTCCTTCCTGTCTCTTTCAATTTTCTCTCATTTTTCTTACCTCCAAATTTAACCAACCAACTACCTAATTAAACCAATAGAAATACTGACTTAATTCTTAAGAATTAAGTAGCTCAGGAAGAAGTTGAGATTTGGTGATTAAAAGGCAAAGAGAAGTGAAGTTACCATTTGAAGCAAGTAAGCTTGTGGTTTTTGAGTTTGTATTGTTAAGTAGAATTTATGGTTAGACATGTTTTGATGCATTAAAATCATGCTCCATCGCAACTATTTCTTTTGTCAAGTTTTGCTTTTTAATGGTGATTACATCATACTTTGAAGAGGTTGGAAGAACCCATCCTCAAAGGGTCAAAGAGAAAGCCAAGGAGTAAGGCTCCAAGCTTATGCAAGCTTGTTATAGGTTAGTATGCACTATTCTTTAACTTGTTTAATTTGTTTTTACATGGTTAAGGTTTTTCAATGGAATTTTGGGGGGGAGGCTTTTGGGTATGTTTTGGGTTAACTTCCTGAAATTTAAATGTTTAGAGTAATGTTCTGGCCGTGGATTCGTAAGCGCTCATTTTCGACCGCCTGTTAATAACTTCAGCAGATTTGTTCTGGCTTCCTCAATGAAAAGTTGTAGCTTATTTCTTTCTCAAGCTTTCCAAAACAATATTATTATATGTCTAATTCCAATACTTGTAAGCCTCAACTACTTATGATTTAAATACCAAAACTGGGTTCTGTTATGGGTGTCTTAAACCTGTAAAGTCCGAAATTAATTGGTTCCAATATTTGGACCACTTCAAATGGAACAATAACGTTACGCTTAATGTTCTTCATAAAATTTTGTATGCTTTACTACTTCTTATCTTAATCTTTCCAACCCGTGCGTAAAAATTGTAGCTTTAGCTTCTATCTTTCAACCCATTCCTCTTTTGTCAATTTGGAGATACTAAGCTCAACTTATGGCTGAAACACCCAAATGACTATGGTTGTGAACAGGCTAACATGCATCACTAAATGAGGTGCCCATTTTGACAACCTAATAAATGAAGATTAGGTTCCTGAGTTCTTCAAAAAGTTGTTCGCCCTGTGTCTTAGACTTCTCACTCGTTCTAACAGATTTGGGTTTCATTTGAGTGTTTGGTTAAAGTGACGGAATTCAAAAACATTGGACTTCGGTTCTGCTGAATCAGGTTTGAATCTGTTGGTGATGTGTTCCTAGATTTTGTTTTCTATTTACCATTTGATCTGGCCTGACTGTACCCTTCTGAAACATTTGGTATCATTTCTGTCTTAGCAGCTTTCTCATGAACTAATTTCATTCATTTTGGAGACGCGCATACTCAATTAAAAAATTTAATGGTATGCGATGTTTAAAAACCCAGGCAGAAGATCAAGTTTATGAAATGCCTAAAAAGTTCTTGATTTTAAGTACTGTTATACTATATTAGTATATAATATATCTATAAGTGTTTGGGGTAAGAAATTTTTGAACTGATGAAGTTACTAAGAATGAAGAGGTTTTTGGATTAAGGAACTTATGTGCTCTTTGTGAAAGAATGATTTTTGATTTGGGCTCTACTATGCATGATTGAAAGACGTGAGTATGATGAAGATGATTTTTGGGTTATTGTGAAGCTAATGATCAGTATGCTAGCGTTATCAGCCCTTATAAATAGGCGTACGCGCTTATTTTGTGTGATGGTGTGGTGGTTCCATAGGCCCATCGCTTGTGTGATGGGGGGGTCGCTTTCAATAGGCCAGGCGGTGATAGCTTTCATAGTGCCAGCACGGCGATGCTTTCATAAGGCCACGAGTATTGGTGAATGGAGGTGGCGCTAAGACATAGGCCGACGATCAAATCGTTTATGTTCAATTCTGGCATGAGTACGAAACTTTTTAACGAAAAATGAAATTTTATTGTTACTATAAACGAATGAAGACATATTTGTATTTATACTCTTCGCATTGCTTTCAAAGTATTTTAATTAAATGAATACGATTTCGGTATTTATTTGGCTATTCTTATTAATTTAATTGTTGGTTATTTAGCACCACTAAGTCTTCCACTCAGCCCGTTGATTTTATCACGCGCAGGTTAGGAGCGGAGGGTGTTCTTCAAGACTAGAGGAGTAGCATCAGAGTAGATATTACATTTTGGGTAGGATATTTTGTAAATGGTGATTTTTGGCATGTATATAAATATTGTGTTGTGAAGGTTGGCTATAATAAGTTTATAATGTATTAAGAGTTATGATTATTTAAGGAAATAACATCTTATTATATTTTTGGTGTATGATGATTATATATTCCTTGAAAATCCTTGAAAAGAATGTGTTTAGAATATTATGAGTATATTGATGGATATTTAGAAGTGCTTGAGATATGTTGTGTTGAATTGGAGTTTTGGGGTTTGGAGAAAATTAAAAGTGTGTAAATTTTCTTTGTATGGCAAGTTAATTTTTAGGGGAAACCCTTGTAAAATTTTCGTAGGGGGAAACTCTTGCGAAATTTTCGTAGGAATTTCCTTATAAATTATTTTTGTAAAAATAAAACAAAAATAAAAGAAAATGTGAATTACTTGCCTCCTTATAAAAATTTAACCACTTTTAATTTGTGATCTAGCTTTAATAAGTGATATAAGACGATGCTCCGGCACCGATTGTGGCATCCGCCATCTGGTTCTCCGTGATTGGCCGATGGTGTTACAGTCTCGACCTTCAATGCTCCATGTGAACTCAATTTAAGTTTGATTTTAGTGTACTTGTGTTCGTTTTTCTCTTTCATTTAAGGCAAATTATGGCTTAAACAAGTTAAGCAATTTACAATTTTGCAAAAAATATTTGATAATTTTGTGTTTTTCTATTAGTTAGTTTGTCAAACTATTTTAAAGATCCATATCTTGCCATTTAAAATGCTGGTATGTGGAGACTGGATTTTTCAATTCAAGTTTAGTAAGATGGAAGGATGATCAATATATATATATATATAAAGCAAGCATTTTTTTCGTTAGAAAGTTGACATGTGGCATATTCACTTGGCAATTTAATTTGACATATGGTATATTCCTCTAATTAGGCTTTCACTTGCAATAGTTTGATTTGATTATTTAATGTATTAATGTATCGGCTTGGTTTGGATTTATTTTGAATTAGTGTTTAGTTTGGTTTGATTTGATTTTTCAATGAATTTTCAATGTATTGATGTATATGTTTTAGTTTGAATTTATTTTGGAGTCTCTGTTTTTAATTTGATTTGATTTGATTAGTTTTAATGTATTAATGTATTGGTTTTGTTTTTGGATTTATTTTGAATTAATATTTTTTGATTTGATTTGTTTGATTATTTAATGTATTAATGTATCGGCTTGGTTTGGATTTATTTTGAATTAGTGTTTAGTTTGGTTTGATTTGATTTTTCAATGTATTGATGTATTGGTTTAGTTTGAATTTATTTTGAGTCTCTGTTTTTAATTTGATTTGATTTGATTATTTAATGTATTAATGTATTGGTTTTGTTTGGATTTATTTTGAATTAATATTTTTGATTTGATTTGGTTTGGTTTGGTTTGGTTATTTAATGTATAATGGTTTTAAGTAATTATTATTAATTATTACTTTTTAAAAAAATGATAAAGTTTAATAACAATGAATTATTCAATTAATTATTAATGTATTACTTTATAATAAATATTTACTCTCAAATTTGCGAAGTAACAAACGTTTCCTTTAACAACCATTAATGTATTTTTAACGTTCCTTATCTAAACGTTTCCATTTATTTATTTTTCTTAAATGGTGTAGTAATGCATTTTTTTTTAATTTTAAATTGTTTAATCTCAAAAAACACTTTAACTTTTTTAGAAATATTATATAAGTTATGTCACTATATTTTTCTATATTTTTCACAGAGGTATATTGATCCCTGCTTTTAAATATATCATTTGTTTTTTTAAAAGTTCAAAATTTTCTACATTTCAATTATTTCCACTGATGGAATTACTAGTAATATCAATAAAAATGGGAATAATGCTCTATTGATCTCTTAAATTTTATAGCTATATAATTTTTTTAAATTGAGTTCTTAACTAATTTTTAATTGAAATATTCAACCAGAAAACCAATTATATTCACTTTTTACTTTAAAAAAAAAGGTGCATTGACTAAATAACTTAGCGAAAATTAGATAACATATTTTATTTATTTTTGTTATATGCTTCTCATGTTTTGATTAGCCGAAAAACATTATAATTAGTATGTTTAATTGAAAATTTCTTTTAAAATTGATTCAAAAATTTAATTTTAAATAAAAATTTATATCCGAATAAGTACATAATAAATCAAATTGAACATGATTATCTAATATATTCAGTCAAATTAGTTTTTTTTTTAATTTATAATTGAGGGAGAGATCCGAATCCATATTTATTATTATAGCATAACCACTTGTCATTAGATGATAGTTTGATGAAATCTAGTCGGGGAAATAATAGTAATTTTTTTTGATATAATGTCATTTTATTAAGAGGGGAGATGGATGACAAACGGTCGCGCTTTTATCTGTGTCGTTATCAGGCAAACTTTATCTTCTACCTCCAGCGAACTGTGAACTCTCTTTCTGTAGAAAGTGGAGAGAGGTATTCAAGACCTCAAAAGTTCACTCAGTTTATGACTGAAGGAGCTCCAAAGAAAAAATGCCTTTCCAAACGGCAACCATATTATCTCCACCTCTGCAAAACCATCATCTCTTCTCTCTTTCTCATTCTCCTACTCTCCTCTCACTGGGGTCTTTTAAGTGTAGTCCCTACAAGAATTCTTCTCAGGTGAATTGCATTTTTTTTTGTTTGTTCTATTAATTTTTATTATTGAGTCATCAAAGTTACATCATTTTTGCCCAATCTCGTTGTTTTGTTGCATCTATTATGAATTTGATGATGTGAGAGTTTTGGATAATTTTTATGGAGAAGAATATAAAATCATGGGTTGTTCATGTTTCTGTTATTGTCATGGTTGGCTTTTTTACTTGGTTTCTTTATATGAAAGGATTGGGGATGGAAGAAGGATAGGGACTGGAAAACATAGTGTTCTGGAATGGGTATTTTGTAGAATTTTATAATTTTAGCGGGAAAAAAAGAGCATGGCTTCTTGATTCATATAGCTTTCAACAACTTGTTATGTATTCCCATGACAATAGCATCACGAAATTTTATTTCTTGTTTTATTGACATGATAAAAATGGTGATTTGAGGATATTAAGTTTTCACCAAAGGTTAAACATTGCCATTAATGTTGCTGTTGCTCTTGAATATCTTCATCACCATTGCCATAAGCCTTTTGTGCATTTTGATTTAAAGCCGAGCAACATTCTTCTTGACAATGACACGACTGCTCATGTAAGTGATTTTGGATTAGCAAAGTTCATTGCAGAAACTATGAATTGGTCTCATCCAAATCAAAGCAGTTCTATTGTACTAAAGGGAACTATAGGTTATGCAGCATCAGGTAACTCTAATTGGTGTTTTACTTGTGATAATATTGGAAGAAAGAAGGAAAGATTCCAATTATTTACATCTAATAGTTATTCTCAAAATTCGAGTGCTGCAGAATATGGCAGTTAACTTGTTACCTTGTTTGAATATGGCAGATCTCAATTACTTGGTTGAATCAATGTTTTATTTCTTGTTACCTTGTTTATAGTTGCTTGTTTTTTATTGACATGAACAATTCCCTCAAACATGGTTTCTGAAAAAAGCAGTTAACTTGAATTTGGAGAGCAGATATTGAAGATGTCCCGATGGACAAGTTTCTTTTGAAGAATTCAATTGTCTGGTCGATTGAAGGAACTAGAAAAATTGGAAGTGCCTTTAACTATTCACTGACAGTACACAAAATGACAGTCATTCTCCATATGGCTAATGTGTTTGTGGAAAAGATTAGGTAGACTAAAGGATAACCACTGGAACTAATTATGAATATTTAAATTAAGGGATGACAATCTTACTTCTTGTGTAATATAACATAAATATTATCCTTTTAAATTGAGAGGGATGGCTGAGTGGATGAATGTGTTGGATTTCAACATAGATATATGATAACCAATAGAATTCTTAACATTTTATAGACTTCAATTTATACTAAGTTCGAGCAAGTAATCAAATAAATTTCTGCACATTTCCAATTAAATGAAGTTAAACTAGCAATTAAGCTTAAAGATAACTAGTAGTATGATAAACCATTGCTTTGGAACTGTGAACCATAACACCAGGAAAATTTTCAGGAAATGTCCTCTGCAACTCCATCTGTGATTGAACTGTTGGAAGACTTTAAGGAGATGGCCTCTGTAACTCCATCTGTGATGGAACTGGAACAGCAGATTGGCACCACCCTCTTTCTCTTCCTTCTCCTTATATGTCGATAATGAGAATGAAGCTTTATAGCATTGAACTATAATTGGTTTACCCTGTCCTCCAATGACCAATAAAGAAAAATAAGATACCTGTCATGCTTGATATTCAGCTTCAATGTGGATCTGTGGATTATCTGCTTGACATAAATTAAGAAAAATAGAACCCATCAATAGAAGGCCTTAGCTTTTTCTTCCTAATGGTTGTTGTGGCCCATCTTACTAGTTAGTTCTTGAATCACATTTTTCCTCTTTTATGAAGAGGCCTTTTGTCCTTCCTCATTGTCCTCATTGCAGGGGTTCAAACTCAAGCTCTGCAAGTTGATATTCCAAGTCTTTATGTCAGTTTATAATGAACAATGTTTCATCTTATTTTTGAAAGAAATATTAAATAAAATAAAGTGAAAGTGAAGATCATGAACATATTTTTGTTTTCATTTTGCTCTTACCTTTATATTTGTATGCTGGTAAAATTTCTAAGTTATGTTAGTCTAGAACAAGTTAAAAGAAAGAGACAATGAGAACTTTATTTGTTTCTCCTATTTGAATACTTTTTTCCTTGAACATGTACTGTTCATTCAAGGTAAAATATTTTTTTGTAAAATCCATTATTTTAGATTCCATCAATTCAAAGTTTTAAACTATAAGCATTTTTCTTTAAAACAAAGGTTGAATTAATAATTTAGATCAAACAATTAGTTGGGCATTTTAATTGATTGTGTTTGTATCTTGTTGGAGCAAGGCTTTTGTTATTATGTCTGACCGCTGCTTACAAAAAGATAGGATAGGAGGATTTCAGGCAAGCTGCCAAGCAACTCTATACAGCGAAAGCCACTGTATCTTTCCGAGCGCATCTCTTTCCATTTCAACTGTCAGGCATTTAAGAAAGAAGAAAAGGGGAACAAAAGCAATAAACACATATAAAGTACAAACCACTGGTTCTGTAGCTTCTTTTTGTTCTTCTGCGGCTTTTGATCAAACAGCTGGTGGGCCACTGTTGCCTGTAAGTGAAATATGCAGAAATAGTAAAGAGAAGAGCACAAGTAAGAAAAGGGTATTTTTTTTGGATGCCAATCCACTTTGTTATGCTGGAAGCACACCAAGCTTGGAATCATTTGGTTGCTGGATTTCTCTTTTCTTCTCTCAAGTCAGCCTCAGTGACCCTGTTATTGCTGTAAGTTCTTTCTCCATATTTGAGATTTTACTATAGCGAATTTAATTCAATTAGATTGGTTGATTTGAATTTTTGTTGCTGGATTGGTAAATTCTTATTCATGTGGTCTAACGTCAAGATTTTGTCCTGGCCATTTACAAGTAGAGGAAAGCATGCTATTGACTGAAACTGTTTAAGCTAAATTAACGATAATTGATTTTTTGTTTTTAACACCATGAGCAAATGTTATAGGTATTGTAGTTCTTTGGCATTGGTCATGTAAAATGGTTATATATTCTTGCTCTTGGAAGATGAGAACTAGATGCCTACAAGTAAATTAGTATATTAAGTGCAATAAGAAAATTATATCTTATAGGAGAATGATCCCAACAAGGAACACCATCAAAAAGTTACAAGGTAGTAACTAAGGCACTAGCTGAGCAGATAAACAATATAGTCAGCAAGATGTGAAGCCGTGAACCAGTTTCTTGAATTTTTTTTACATGCAGTATTTGTACCGGATGATGTGGTTTCTAGTTCACTTTTCTAATATCGCATCCATAAAGTAAATAGCATTAGAATTTTTTTTCCTTATTAATGAAAAACTCGACCAAATATGAAAGCTATAGATTGGACATTGCTTGAAATTTGTCATGTGGACGATTAGTCACCATGGTTGCTCACCGCTTCCCTTTTCATTCTTTTCCTCTCTTTTAATGACCTGCTAGATCTCCTACCCCTATATCAAGGCAAGAGTTTCTTTCAATTCAAAAATATATTATACATGGTAATTCCCAAAAGGCCAGCAACAACTATTTGAATCATGTGCGTTGGTCATTCGTTGTGAATATCAATTGATTGATGTATGCTTGAATGTGATTATATTTAAGTATACCTAATGATACTTTATGATGATTTGGTGATGTTTGAATTGAGAATGTGGTTAATTCATGTGCTCTTTCTCTTGTTACATCAAATAGATAGTTACAATTGGTAATGTTCTTCAGGTCCTTGATGGAGAAGGGGGTAATGAGTACCGCAGACAATTGTTGCCTTCATATAAAGCACACAGGAGAAAATTCTTAAGCCAGTTATCAACTTTTAAAAAGTTCTCAAAGGATCACGCCAACAGGTCTCAAGTTGTCACGGATGTTCTTACAAAATGCAATGTCCCAGTGGGTGAACCTTCGCCAATCTCAATTTTGCAGAGCTTTCTATTCTAAATTTTATACTCTCATATAAATATTATTATTATGGATCTTTTATAATGTTAATCTGGTCATCAAAAATACAAAATCATACAGGTTGTAAAAATGAAAGGCCATGAAGCAGATGATGTTGTGGCTACACTTGTAGGACAAGTTATAAAAAAAGGGTACAAGGTGGTTATTGCCTCTCCCGATAAAGATTTCAAGCAACTGATTTCTGAAGATGTCCAAATTGTTTTGCCTATTATAGAGCTGAAACGATGGTCTTTTTACACCATAAAGCACTATATTGCGCAATATAATTGTGATCCTTGCTCTGATTTGAGTCTGAGTAAGTATGAAATTGTTATTGTGCATCATATTATGTCATTGTCATATAATTAACTGCACTTTTACATGTGTAAACTGCTAGCAGATACTTTTGTTATGGGTACCAACCAAAAACTTGCAATTATTTCTAATTATTATTTTGTTTATTTATTTATTTTAAAGAATAAACAGATCAAGTTATTAAGGACAAAAAAGGAGGATAAGGAGCCTAAATCATAGGATTTTAACAATGTAGAGCTTACAACTGCTAAATTTAGTTGGGGATTCTCTTTAAGTCCTAACACCAGTTACTCAACTTTATTCTTCGGTCTTTATTAGAAACTGCTGCCAGGTTTCCTACATGAATCACTAGCTGTAATGTATCTTAAATGTTGATAACTTTTCTTTTGGATCTGTAATCGTACAGGATGTATTATGGGTGATGAGGTTGATGGTGTTCCTGGGATACAACATGTGGCTCCTGGGTTTGGCCGAAAGACAGCCCTAAAGCTTTTGAAAAAGCATGGTTCATTGGAAAATTTACTAAATGCAGCAGCAGTAAGAACTGTGGGCAAGCAGTACGCACAAGATGCCCTCACTAAGCATGCTGATTTTCTGCGCAGGAATTACGAGGTTCTGGCATTGAGGAGGTAGCTTGTTTCCCTTTTCTCGTAAAAAATAAGAAGTAATTTCCTTGTTATTATTTGCTAAGCTGGATGTTATGTTTCCTGGTGGGTCCCTCATTACCTAAATTCAGCTTTCTGTTCTTCCTCTCCCTTTACCTTTTCTTTTTTCTTTTTTTTTTTTTTACTTTTTTATGTTTATGTTGGTTTTGTGGTTCACAATATTATATAGGGATGTTGATGTTCATCTTCAAGAGGAATGGCTGGTTGACAGAGACGGATGCAATGATTCCATTATTTTATCTACCTTCTTCAAGGTGTTGAAAGAAAGCAAAATGCCGTCTCCGCGATATAGGTCTAATTCTTCAAATGGTTAAGCCCCAAGGTAAGCTTTGAATTTCTCAAGACAATTTTGCAAAGAATAAACTAACAAGATCACTTCCGGACTATTCCTAATCTTCTTGAAGAGTAATTTTTGACACACTTGGTTTTGGCTTTAAGCTATAGTGATCTAAGATAAAGTTTTTGTGGGATTCTGTAGCTATAATCTTGTTGGTTATCCACTTTGGGGACGAATCAGGGTGGTTCATATCCCATTGTTATATGTGGTTTGGTTGAAAACTCCTCCAACTGCTAATCTCACTACCATTTTTCGCATTTCTTTGGCAGGGGAGGAAGGTTATGTATTCTAAGAAATATTATTTTCACTGGACCAGTAAAGCATGGACATAAAAATGAATTATCACGCTTTTCATGTTTGCAAAGGTATAATATTACATGGAAGTCATCTAATACCTGAAAATATATAGAATTAGAATAATATTACCCTTGAAATGGCATCTGTGTCTTGGTGCAATAATATAAGAATGCTTACTACAGATCACATGCTCGCTCACATAACATATACACACCTCCTACAGATTTGCAAATTTCTGTCATCAGTAGCAAATTATAAATTGTCAAAGGGTGCTTGTCGAATTTTAGATTAACTTGCATATATAGCAAGGGTTATTAGCTAATATATGGTTATTCATTTCATATTGGTGGGTCCAATCTTGGGGGTTGTTTTATGATAAAGGAAAGACAAGAAAAGTGCATGTCATCTGTCATGCAAGCTGAACACTAAATGATGCACAATTAAATTAAGCAACAACCAAAAAAGAATTGTTTTTGCTTTTGACAAGTTTTCTTCTTATCTTTTAGGTTTAAGGTAATTTGCTTATGCAAATCACTTGGCAATCATGTACTTATTGTTGAAGAAAGATGCTAAGCCACACTTTATTTGATGGGTGTTGCTGCTGCAAGAATTTGACCTTGAAATTCGAGAAGATTATGGAGAATGTCATAGCGGATCACTTGTCAAAACTAGAAAAAGAAGAAACAAAGGATGAAGATGACACTTTCTCCAAATTTCTCTCTGTTTGTGCTTCCGTTGTTGCATGGAAAATGTCTCAAACAAATGGTTCTAATGATAATAAAATGGGTATATGATGATATAGAAGAGAGACATTTCTTTTCTTGGTGGAGCAGCTTTTGGGAGTCAGTTTGTGGGTTTGCTCTCACCTTCTAGCAACTCTTAGGATTGGCAATGATGGTGTTGTTCCTTGCTTAATATGGAGGCATATATGATTTGAGCCTCCCTTTCTCTAAATTTCTCCATATATGCTCTGTTTGTTTTGTGGAAAATATTTCAAATGAAAGCTTTGCACCTAAGAGTGTTTGATTGATTTCAGAACTAACCCCTATTCATATCCATATCTATACATCGGTCCTTCTCTTCGTGTGTTTGTGTGCATGTATTTGAGGGTGTGATGATGCTTTCTTTTTATTGAAAAATCTTTGGCTGTGTCACATTGAGCTTCTGATATTTATGTCTCTTTCACAAGCAACTCTTTGTTGCAGACATGTTTGAGACGAGGTGCTTGCGGCCAAATGTTATTGACTCGAGTTCTACATTTTGTGAAAACTTTGTTGGAATGTGAACAAAGTTTGGCACAATTTGCATTTTTATCTTCATTGTCCGTAAGATCTTGCATTTTTTTAGATTCTTGCCCTATCATTATTCATTTTGGTCGACAGGTAACAAAAATTGTCAATTATTTTGTTTGATGTGCGTTTAACTTTGACAAAATTACAGTTTTGTTGTCAATAATTGGAATGTAGGCTCCTAAGCGTAAATGTATATGAAAGTCCTCTGCACTTGCAATTCTTCTTGCTGCTAAGCTTGATTGCATATGAGTTTTCCTCCTATCAACATGTCTAAAACCGTTGCTTGTGGTAGGGGTGACTGTTAACCAGCAAGAATAAAAGTTGATCCGTATAGGGCAAAAGGCTTGCCATTTTGGTCTTGTGTAATTTGGCCATGATTTGGAACTTGCACTTGCTTCCTAAGTAATCTATCTAACTGTACTTTGTATGCTTTTCCACTCTGTTGTATTATATGGCCTACATGCATAAATTTGCTCCTGCGCTTATCATGATCTTACATTTTCACATTTTAATAATAATTATATTACTCGTCAAAATAAATGTTAAAGTGCAGGGTTATGGTTGAATTCGTGTAAAGTTATTTTATTTTGGTGAAGGGCAGTTATTTATGGAATGTGATAGTGTTAGGTCATGATTGGTTCTTGTAAATTTGAGGGTGCTATAAAGCCAATCGCTTAAATTTCAAAGATAAATATATGCATTTGACCTTTATTATGTTGTTCTATTGATTTGGTGGTTGAATAATATTTTTGCTATTTTGAGTGCCAGTTTGTCAATGACCTTTATGCACTTATGGCGTAGGTCTTGTTGGATATGAGACATCATGCAAACTTGCCCATGAGTTAGAATTCATTCATGCTCAGGAATTGAAGTCTCAATTACAATAACTTATCTCTAAAGGCTTTTAAACATGAAATATAGTTTTGAGCTTTTTGGATGGTTGCTTGCTCTCCTTTGATGTTCTTTATAATCATGCATCTATGATTCATTTTGTCTATTCCTTCACGGCCAAATGCATTCACAGCTAAATCATAGATTTGCCTTTGAAGTTTACGCGATTTATCTCGTAGCATCTTCAAGTTTGTGGAAAACTATCTTGACTTTATATTTTTTTATTTCAGTAATAATAATGTTTCTCGCTAAAATTAAATAATTTTATAAAAGTTCAATCACAACTTTGCACTTTTACATTTTATTATGACAGAGGCATAATTAATACTGAAATGTGTTCAGGGTTATGATAGGTTTCCACTAGGCATGGCCGGTTCAATGAACCGCCGGTTTCGGTTCATTGAACCTCCGGTTCGAAATGTTTAAAATTTTGAACCGGAACCGGCCCTTGAACCAACTATTGGCACTTTTAAAACATTTTAATTATAGACAGAGGCATAATATAAATTTTTTACCTGAATCAGATGTGGGTTCAGGGGCCTTACAATGAAATAGGGTGTTACCCCAACTAGGAAATGGCCGAAATTTCAAATGGGTAATTTACGCCAGCACGGTTGTCCGCTGAGAGAAGATTGCATTGGAGAGTAACTGTTTTTTTTTTATGAACTGTATGGCCGGTTCGAAATGTTTAAAAGGATTATTGAAGCCCGGAACCGGCCCTTGACCTATCTGCGGCCAACCGGTTTGAACCGCGATCAACGGTTACAGCAGCGCAAGGCGGTTCCACAGTCGACCAGACGGTTACATCAAAAAATTTACGGTATCACCGATTTATTGAGGATTCCGGCATTACGGACAATTTTTTAAAAAAATAATAAAAAGAATTTAATGATTCGAATTCGATGAATATAATATCATAATATCATTAAAAGCTAGTTTTACAAATTTTTATGGTGAAGCTAAATTGGCTAAATTTATAGTACAATAAGTCCTATAGAATATTTAAAGAGCAAAAACTTCTATCTTGAACAAGGCTTTTATGCAAAAGTTGCTTCTTGAAAATATCGAACCGCAATGAATTTTCTTCCATTATCTTGAACAATAATTTGCCAATTAGAGCTGAGAAAAAAAGGAGTCGAATGTTGTAATGGTGGTTACCTATTGAAAATATTATGCGTAGATAATGGTGCTACTTGTTGGTGAAAATTAATTACTAATGCAAAAATGTGATCATTTGAATCAATTTCATTCGCACACTTTGGAACTACTTATCCCTTGGAGATTTGTATGAATTGTGTGCCATAGGGTATTTTAAAAACTGGCGATATTAATGGAAAAAAAATGATAAAATTGGTAATAAATGCAAGGGGAATTAATCCCTTGGAGGAATCTTATTTTGGAATTGGATGTATGAAAATAAAGCAATATTAAGACAGTGAAGAGGAGAGATAGATAACCTAATTGGGTTCTCGATGTAAAAAAAAAAAATAATCAACTCATACATATTATACATATTTTCATATTATGTAGTTTTCCCCAAATTGTCCCCTTATAGAGAATAAAAAAACAAATTATATTTTTGGAGATAATTTAGTAAATTATAATAAACACTATAAATAAAACCACATGGGTAGGAATTAATTAAATTTAAAACATTAATACAGGATTTATCGGCACAGGATACAATGGGTCCCAACAGTCTAACGTGGATGATATAAAAATAAAAAAAACAACAAATTTACAAGAATAAAAAAGAACAAAAAAAAACAAAAAGAAAAAAAAAAAAAAAAGAAATGACAGGAAAAAGTAACAGAAATAAAAAGAAAAAAAAAATAAAACAAAAAATTAGAAAGAATCAAATGAAGAGCGACCCAAAATAAAGAGAGACCAACACTCCCCAAAAGCGAATTAGAAGGATGAGAGATATTGCGGAGGCACAGGGGAGAGAAAAAAAAAAGAAAAAAAAAATACGACTCTTTGAGACTGTCCGATACCGACAATAAGAAAAAATTCAAAGAGTAACACAGGATCCGAATAAAAAGAGACAAAAAAAAAATAAAAAAAACAAAAAATAAAAAAAAGAATAGAAAAGAAATAAAACCCCACACTAGCAATAAACAAAAAAAAATGCGTTAGTACAAAAAAACAGACTCAAGAGTTGAGAACAGAAACAAAAAGAAGAAGAGAGAAAATACTCATAATATATGAAAAAAATTACATTTTTATGTATAATAATAAAAAAAAAAACAAATAAAAATAATTAATTAATTAAATTATAATAAAACAATTATATCCGTTTGAAGTTTGAATTGTTAATTGTATAGTAAATTGTTAATTGTAAACAAAGTTCAATGGCTATTTTTGATTATGAGCTTTCAAAAAAAAAGTGAAATGATTATGCTTCTCCTTTTTTAAACCAAAATGATGATGTTTTTTTTTTTTCACTATTTTTGATTATTGCAATAAATAATTTTGTTTGTGAATTCAGTTCGAACCGGACCGAAGCCGCCGGTTAACCGCCGGTTCTGGGCCGGTTCAGGTTCATTTTTTAACATTCACATGAACCTTAACCGGCCCTTGAACCGCCGCATGAAATACTTAACGCCGGAACCCTTTGTAAAACCACCGGTTCCGGTTTCAAGAATTTTTGCGAACGCGACGGTATTTCGGATCTTCTCACGGATACATCATGTTCGTTCTTACACAGTATCAGTTAGGGTAATTACTCTGGTTGTACGGTTTTTACGAACCGCCGGTTTCGATCCGGTTTCGGTTCGTCTACAGTACGGTTCGGTTCCGGTTCGGTTCCGGTTAGAACCGAACCGGTGGCCATGCCTAGTTTCCACAAACTTAAAGATGTCACAACACAAATCACGTAAACATGAGGGGTAAATTTTTGCATTAAGCCATTCTTTTACTAGAATTGCTTAAGATAAGAACATTGATTGACCTTCCATATCAATGATCAAACATATTAACCAATAAGATATTCTCTATAAATGTTAGACAAGTGTAAATTTATTATTATTTTTTTTAAAAAAAAAAAGAGATGTGTATACATGGCTAATTCTCAATTTCTTTTTTTTTTTTTTTTTTTTTTATATTTTTTATTGTTTTTTGTCCCTGATTAATCGGAACCATCATCCTTGTTGAAGTGAAAATATACCTATAAGGGCTAAATGGGTGAAAAAAGTAGTAAGAGATTCTTTTAGGTTGAGCCAGAGAGAGAGAGAGAGCATGTTATCTTTGGGTATCGGTTAATATTTCTACTTTAAACTTTGCCGAATGGTATTTGGAGAAATAGACATTAGAATAAACACCAATCTTTTTAAATGACTATTGGTCTGGTTCAGTTATGCGGAAGCCTTGGTAAGTATTGAAGGACCTATTTGTGTCCTTTGGCAACTCTATGCCAAATAGAAAACATGGTAGACCGGGACAGATATATTTAGTCCAGTTGCACTCCGCTTCTTTCTGAATTAAGTAAAAACTGGTAAAAAACGCAACAGATTAATTTTTTTTTTTTTTTTTTTTTTTGTCCTGTTATCAACCTCATCCTGTTGAAGTGATATATAAAGCAAATGTGAAATGATAGAGTTTCTTTAGGTTAGAGAGAGAGAGAGAGAGCATGTTAATTTTTGGGTATCGGTTAATATTTCTATTTATACTTTCATATTTTGGGAATAGCATAAATCAAAATCTATTTTTTAATACTTTGGTCTTAGTTGCAAGCCTGGTAGTGAGACTTTTGTCCTTTGGCAAATGCCAAATAAGAAGACATTAACCAGTTTATCTATTGTCATGCTTTCTTTGATAAGAAACTAACCGATTTAGATTTGCCCAGAATATACGTCTTGATGATTCTTTGTGGTATTAGTGTCAT